TAGACAGGAAGTATTGGATCTCCCTGGACTCAGGAAGGAAAAGAAGAGGCTATTCATGACCAGCTTCAAACCAGCTATAAAAATGTGGACATCTACAAGCAGATTAAATGAGTGATGCAGGGATACAACAGGGATGAGCAGCAGTGCCACTTGAAAGTAAAGAATTTTGCCAGGGAGCACACTAGATCTGGTGCTGTGCTGCAGACGTGCTTCTTCTATAAGAAACTGCGTGCCATCCTGGGTGGAGACCCCACTTAGCATCCAGCAGACCACTTTGGATCCCCTGGAGGAGCCTGAGACAGACCTCTGCAGTGATCACCAATGAGGAATAGGAGGAAAGATGCAATGGGTGACTCCTGACGTGCCACAAGCCATTACCCATTTGAGACTGTGCCACAATCTAACCAGTTTCATCAGATAAACACAGATGAGCCTGATCAAATGGAAGGGAATCCACATAAGTGTGTGCATGCATGTTTAAATGTAAAGATGATGCTCAGACCATCCCCAGGTTAACGAGGCAAAGGTATGGACTTTTCAATGTTTTATTTATGAGAGACAAGACTGAGGTACAATGAACAAAGGCAGATCTGCATCTGCTTTTTATTCCCCTGCTGGGTTAGGCAGGGAAGAGAGAGATGTAGAGAACTTTATATGTATAGGGTTGTCCTTTTAATCCACCAAAGAGATCTTGATGAAAGTTTCCTGGGGATAGGTCCACAATCCTCTCCTGAAGATTTCTCACAATGCCTGCCTTGTTTCTTCCTCCAAGATAGCCAAACTCATCACAGAGAAAGTGTCCTAACACCATTGCAGGAAACAGGCTAGCAACATACAGAGCTGGGTCGGTTCAGAATGCTAACACCTGTGCTCTCTGGACTTTTGTTACCCTTAGGAGTGAGATATCAGCTGAAATCACCAACATGTGTGGAAAATTGGGCCAGAATTCAGTGCAATTGTCCTGTACTCATACTCATGGAACAGGAACTAAAATGATATACTTAATGGAACAGAAAATCCTTCCCTACCTCACCCTTGGTGGGTCATATTCATCATGGCTGGGGCTGGAGAGCAGTGCTTTGCATAAGTCCTCTAAAGCTTAAGTGTTAATAAGCATTCCTTATGAAAAGTGTTTATGGAAATAATGGAGGGAGTTCTGAAACTTATCTTTCCCTTGTGATTGCACATCCTGGAGTACATCAGTCTGTTTTTATCAGAAGATTCTCACATGGTGGCCTTGAGGAAAGCCCCCATGTCATCTGCAGAACACCTGAGCCTGAGGGCAGGAGGAGAGGAGAAGGACCAAGAACATGTTCTGGAAGATGCTGTGAGATAGTGCTGCATCAGACTGTGAATGAAGGACTTGGAGTTCCAATATGACCAACGTCCTGAATAAAGGGAACATAGACCAGGAGTCCCACCAGGAATAATGCTGCAAACTGTGATGTGGGTCTAAAAATACTAGACTCTCCATCCATCCTTTTCAGTCCTTGAAGAACTCCATGGTTGCTGCTATCTATGCTCCAGCATATCATGTGGCATTATAAGGCTTATCGTTGAGCTTGTAGTAGTTCTTGTGTTTGGCTGTTCAGAGTTAGCAGACATCCACAGATACGCCGCAGAAAAAAAGCAGCTCTAACCACTGGGGTATTTTTCTCACTGAACCAATCTAGTGCCTACACACTTCAGTGTCTCTTCAATATTCTAACAGGACATTCAACAGCCATTCTGGCCTGGGTGCTGTTGAAATAACCAATATACAACTTCATGATCAGGGGAGCAAGATGTAGGCTGGGTCTCCTACAATTAGTATGGACATTTCAGTATAACCAGTGGTAATCCTTTGGACAGGAACAGGAATATAAAGGGTTAACTGGATACCCAATTATCCAGTAAGCATTCCCCTTACCACCACACTTACCTGGGTAATCAGTTAACTGGTGTGAGAGTGATCCAGCTGGGCTTGGCCCAGCCAGAGTTACTCCCTTCCTGTAGTGCAGTGGGCTCAGCCCAGCATGGCAAGAAAGGCCCCCGTGGTGCGGCATACTGCGGGCAGTTCCAGACTGGTCAGGCCAACCATGCTGCAGGCGGGGGCTGCTATGCTGTGAGTAGGGGCTGCTGGGCCAGGCCTGGTCAATTGCTACGATTAAACACTTTGTTAAACCAGTTAACCACTGACTGGGATTTATAGCCCTAGTCAAGAAGGCCTGCAGGCTTCTAAATAGTCCCGTTTTTAAAAATATGAGCATCAAGCACCATCCCTGACTTGCCATTTTTCATATTGTGGAAGCATCCCCGAAGATCCACAAACAATTGCATAATCATACTCTGTGGCAAGGTGGGTTGATGTCAAAATACAGATATATGTGCCATCTATCATGCCACCAGTTTTGCCTATCTCCTAGAACTGGAAGGGGCCTTGCAGTCATTGAGTCCAGTCCCCTGCCTTCACAGCAGGACCAAGTACCATCCCTGACAAATTTTTGCCCCAAATGGCCTCCCACAAGGATTGAACTCACAATCCTGAGTTTAACAGGCCAATGCTCAAACCACTGAGCAATCCCTCCTAGTTCAGAAGTCCCACTGCTACATATCCATCCACTAGTTCCTGCACATTGCCAAATACTACTGTCCTACATAGCAGGATACAAGTAATGGATTTACACACTTGCATCAAATTATTTCCCACTGAGCAGTGTCCTCTGACACTGTAAGCTTCCACAGTGGAAACACCACTTGCTTCTCCACTAGCAATGCAGCTCTTATTCTGTGCTGAAGGGCTACTGCAAGCTTGGCACAGACAGATCCAGAAATGTTGCCTTCTGCATCCAAAAGTTCTGGAGCCATTGCTTATTTTCCCATAACTGCATTACGATGCAATTCCACCAGTAATGTTTGCTTCTCAGGTCCACAAGCAGTGCTCCAGGAACACAACCCACAACCTTGAATTGTTTTTGCTATGTCCCTCAGCAATCTCTCTTCAAAGAAATTGTCATGTCCTCCTTTGTTGAGGGTCTGGACTCAGGGTACAGAAATTCATGAGAATCTTGCATCCTATATTTTCAATGTTCATGAGAGGTGTATGATCCATATTTCTGTCAGAGATGGCAGAGACCAACGAGTGCCATATAGGTTTGTGGGATTTTTTTAAGAGGCATAAAAAGTATTGATATGGATGACATTATGAGATGGAGAAAGTTGCATGCTGCAACTTGATCCCTTACTTGTGGGCACATCAGTACTATCCCACAAAACATTACAAAAATGTTTCAAAAAGGTATTGTGCAGGATGGCAGCACTTGGTACACAGAGACGCCTAACAAGGGTGCACTGCACTTCACACAAGCGCTTCTGGTGAGTATACTCACTGCCAAAGCAAGCAGCATGCATGCATGGGCATAAGAAGCTTCCCATTGGGAAGACCAGTCCCATCTTCACCTCTTCCAAGTCAAAGCCTCGACACCTGCTTTCAGCTCACCCAGATAGGGCAGGAGGCTGAGAGTTCTGTCTCTCCTCCATATGTCCCCAGCTAGGGCAGGAGGCAGAAATTGAAAGTTCAGTCAGGGCCTTGGCTGGGATTGCAGCAGAGCTCACAGCCCTGGCCAGAGCTGTGAGGTTGGCCCCTCATTCCCAGCAGGAGGCTGCAGTGTTGGGGTTCTGGGCTTCCCCTTCTGCCTGTAGCCCCACCCATGGCCCCACTCCATTCCATCCCTTCCCTGAGTCCCCGTTCCCATTCTACCACCACTCCATCTCTTTCCCACAGAGTTCCACCTGTGCTCCCTCCTTTCCATGCCTTGCTCTGTTGTGGCCCAGAAACTAGCGAAGCTCTGTGCCCCTGCCATATGTCAGCAAAAGTGCTCCAGCCCTGGGGCCATAGCAGGGGGATTTTTTTTTGGGGGGGGAGGCAAATTGGTCAGGTAATCCACCACTCCTCCCCATGGGGCATGAGGTTCAGAGAGGCTTAGTGTCCCTCAGACTTTATTGTATGCCACCTGTGTGTGCACAGCAAATGCAATTACAAACTTTGGAGGCTGTATAGCGACATAACATGCAATGGCTGTTTGTAATGTAGACATGGCCTAAATCTGTTTTAACCAATTTAAAGCAGTGCAACTTTGAACACAGGCAATAGAGGAGACATTATTAGGTGTTGGTGTGGGACCTTTCTAGGATGCTTTCTCATACATGTTGAAATAGAATGAGGAGTTAGCTAGGGACTGTTGGGAAGCAGACTTAATGAGAACAGTTACTCTGTCACTGAGGTTGATGGAAGGAAAATAAGTGAGGCTGGGCACTACTTTTCTAAAGGGGCTCATTTTAAGTTTTAGTTCCTAAAAAATGTTACAGACTTCTTTGTAAGTGCTCTGAAAATTAATTCTTCTACCCAACCAGCCATTTTGGATGTATTTTTTCATCCAAAATAAAAGACATGGAAACCTGCTTTAAGTGCAAAATTCAAACTTAATAGTAGCACTGACGGGTGCCTCCAATCATTTCCTTACATTGCAGTGGTAACCAAAGGCCCAATCCGGATTGGAGCCCTATGGTAGCGCGCTGCTGCCCTCTCTAAAACACTGCTTTAGACTAAAGAACGAATAAGATCCTGCCTGCTATTCACAATCCGCCCCCTTTATTCGAGCCAAACCCGCGTGAGAGGGCAGGGAGGTGGCAAGGTGACTGGGGAGAGGAGTCTAGCTGAGCCTGAGGAGGAGGCTGGAAAGGATTTGCACGGGGCTCCCTCCCTCAGCGAAGCCTGCGGGCTCCCACAAACCCGGTGCCCCCCCCCTCGCAGAGGGGGGGGTGGAGAAGCCTTGCGGGCTGCCATGGAAGCCCAAAGGGACCGAGCGCTCCCAAGCCAACCCAGAGAGGGCGCCACGTGCGAGCCCGGTCCGAACCTTGCTTACAGCTGGGGGGTCAGGCCCAAGGCGCGCTATAGGGGGGAGAGAAGATTAAAGGTGGGAGGGCGGCATCGCCTCCCAGCCCCGGCCCGCTGCTCTCACCTCAGGGGGCGGCAGTGGCCGCGACACTGCGGGGTCCCCGGGCAGCGCCTCCTCGCCTGCTGGCTCTGCTGTGGCTGCCGCCCGCCTGCTGATTCCGCCTGCGCCACCAGGGCAGGCTGGGGGGCGGGGGGGGGGCTGATAGTGCTACGGCTGCTCCCCGCCCGCCTCCAGCGGCCCCACTGCACCGCCTCCCCGCCCCCTCCGCGGCGGCCCCTGCTCCCTGTCATAGAGGGGCTGGCAGCTTCCCCCCGCCTCCTCCCCGTTCCCGTCTTCATCCCCGCCTATGCCCATCCTCTCAAGAGCCGACACGCCTCCGCTCCCGCTGCTGGGAGAAGGCGGCGTTGGGCCAGGGAGAGCAAAGGAAGCTGCAGAGGCAGCGAAGTAAGGAGGCGGCGGGCGCAGGCAGCCGTCACCCAGCGATGGGGCGGCCAAGCAGATACCAAACGTTGAGGCGGAGCCAGCCGCGTTCTCCGCGCATAAGTTCATAAAACTTTGACTCCCCTCCTTTCAGCCTCCAGATCCCGCCGGGCCCCAGCGCACGGGTGCTTGCAAAGCCCGGTTTTCAGCGCGCTTCTACAGTCCCCCAGAGTTGTTCAGAGGAGTGAGTCCATAGGTCACCGCTGATTCTCCTCAGACTCGAGTAAAAAAACCTACCACGATCTAGCCACCAGCCATAGCTGGGCCCCATGCTGATGCCCGGCCTCGTCTGGGGTCTGCAGTCCCTGGGTTTTGGCGCCCAGTCCTGGCCAGGTTCTGCTCCAGGCCCCGGCAGGGCTCCCCTGCCAACTATTGGCTCCCTGTGTCCACTCTTGGCCTGGATTCCTACTTCCAGGCTCCAGCTGCCAAATTACAGCCACTGGCCCTAGCTAGGCTGCTGGCCCTAGCTAGGCTCTTGGCCTTGGACCACTGGCCGCTAGCCCTGGGCACCACTCCTGCTGTGCCCAGCTCTCTGGTCTGGCAACAGCTGTGCTGAAGCTCAGATGTTGCTGGACTAGAGTTTCCTGGGCTATAGAGGTCCAGCCTGTACCTCTTTAAGGTATGGTGCCTGACAGGAGGACCAGAGTTGTCCATAAATGCTGGTAATAAGAACCTTAGCTGGTGAGGCCATAGATTATAGCACACCAGAAATCTCAGATTTCAGCTCTTTGAGAAAGAGAAAGAAAGGCAAGTTAACTCTTGAGAGGCAAAATGCCTTTACAAACTTGTCTCACTCATCTCTAAAATACTAAAACCCACAAGAGTGTGGTTAAACTAAAAGGCTGTGTCTAGACTGGCAAGTTTTTCCGCAAAAGCAAGTGCTTTTGCGGAAAAACTTGCCAGCTGTCTACACTGGCCGCTTGAATTTCTGCAAGAACACTAACTTCCTACTGTCTGAAATCAGTGCTTCTTGCGGAAATACTATGCTGCTCCCATTCGAGCAAAAGCTTTTGCGCAAAAGGGCCAGTGTAGACAGCTCAGATTTGTTTTGTGCAAAAAAAGCCCCGGTCGCGAAAATGGTGATTGGGGCTTTCTTGTGCAAAAGTGCATCTAGATTGGCACGGATGCTTTTCCGCAAAAAGTGCTTTTGCGGAAAAGCGTCCATGCCAATCTAGACGCTCTTTTCCGCAAATGCTTTTAACGGAAAACTTTTCCGTTAAAAGCATTTGCGGAAAATCATGCCAGTCTAGACGTAGCCAAAGTCTCTCAAGGAAAATCCTGAGGTAAAGAAAAAGCTACAAAGATTCAAAAGGTGTACTGGACAAACTGGCCTAAGAAATAGTCTATTTAAACAAAAGACTTGGTATGACAAAAATTACTGTCAGTATACACTCGTGATACTATTGTTAATGTTAACTCTTGTAACTAACTGGTTGCTTATACAAAAATGGCAAAATTGTGTAATGTGCTTGGTCTTTTGGAAAACTCCTTTAACATATTAAGAGTGGTACATGAAAATATGATATTCAGTACAAACCCTTATAAATTATGCTCTCCAGTTCAGGAAGAGCACATTTTGCATTAAAAAACCTAACAATATTCAGTTTTCATAGCTAACTATCCAATAGCCCATCATAAGACAGGATTTTCGGGTCTCTCCTCTACGTCTCTCTCTCTCCTCCTCCTGCTGCCTCCCCCACTCTCTCTCAGCGCTTCTCCGCCTCCTGCTTCTCTCGCCATCTCTCTTTCTCTTCTCCTCCCCCTCCTGCCTCTCACTCGGGGGACTGCAGAGCCCAAATGGTCGCTTGCGCCATTGTGGTCGCCTCCTGCTGTAGCGCTTTGCTGACTTCTGCACCACTCAGTTGGGCCGCCACAGAGGAGCAAGTGGAGCAAGCGGCCGTTTGGTTTCCCCCACGGTGGCCCGGCTTAGCGGCACGGAAGGGGAAGGGGAAGGGGAAGGAGAAGAGGAAGGGGGGCGGGGTGGTGACGTACACGGCCAGGACCCACCCCCTGGCCATGTACGTCACCGCCCCACCTGGGGGCCTGCCATGGGGGAGCAAGCGGCGCAAGCGGCCGTTTGGGCCCTATGCTCCCCATGCAGCACGAGGGGGCTGCATGGGGACCGCAGTGCCCAAACAGCCACTTGCGCTGCTTGCTCCCCCGCAGCAGCCCGGCTGAGCGGCACAGAAGTCAGCCGAGCGCCAAGGTGGGAGATGAAGAACATGACTCAGGCAACAACGCCGCCCAGAGGGAACAGCCAGAGAGGCAACAGAGCCGCCCAGAGGGAACAGCCAGCATTTCAGGCAACAGCACCCCCCCCCCCGAGGGAACAGCCAGCATTTCCGCGTTACAGACTCTCAGACACTGTGCTACTATATATATGATGCCTATATATAATTCTAAAGCTTTCCACAGAAGAAAAGCTATTACAAACAAACTGCTGTGCAAAAAAAGAAAACTGAGGTGCAACACCTCACAGCCTTCATGGCTGAATATCTGAGTAAGTACTCTCTGAAGAATATTGATGTTTATGTTAACACAAAGGACAAGTATGGATTAAATTGTCAGTTTGGGCCAGAGCATACATGTAATAATTTGGCTTTACCAAGGATTCAACGTAAACACAACTCATCAGAATTGGAAGATCCTTAAAATGTATCCAGGACCTCTAATTAGTTCCTTCTACACAATCCTGCCTTGGGGGTGTGACACATGACATGGCCAGAAAAGGTAAAGCATTCTGCAGAAGTAAATTACTCAAATTCAACCTTTAAGGACATTTGGGTATTTAATGTTTGTGTGTTTGCATGTATATTGTTAGAGGTTAACAGTATAATCAGATGGTTCCTGTCTATGCTGCATTAATTTCTAATACACAGATCAAAAGGAGTTTAGAGGTTAACAGTATAATCAGATGGTTCCTGTCTATGCTGCATTAATTTCTAATTCACAGATCAAAAGGAGATCTTAACATTTAAATAAACTGTTAAGTGTAGTAATGTCATTGTACTTTTCAGAAACACATTTAAAATATACTCTACCCATTAAGTGGCATTAAAATTCACCCAAGCACCACAGTTATATTCCTCAGTTTATAGGCCCGTTTTCTGGGGGGTGGGAGGGTGAGGGAGAGGGTGCATAGTATGCGAAAGTCCCCCCATGATTCCCCAAGTACGCATGCTCTGGTCAGCCAGGAGAAGGCAGGAGCAGCATGCTGCCCAAGCCTCCATCCCCCATGCTCTGACCAGCCAAAGGAAGGCTGGGGTTGATTTCCCCACTTACTTGGGGGATCATAGGGGGTGCATTCACACCCTTGTGGTCCACATTGACAAAAAAAGCACACCCACACCCACAGAAATTCCTGCGTATGGGCCTGGTTTAGTTAGTGTGAAGTAATTTTGGAAAAGAGTCATCACCACTACCTCTCACCTCGTTAGATAACATAGATGTGACTGTTTTCAGGGACCTCTAGCATCGCTGTAAAAGCATTACTGGTTTGTTCAATTGCTTTTTGGTTAGCTGCTGTTGTAGGTTTTTCTACAATCTGAATATCTCAAAGTGTTCAACACTTGTACTATTTTACCAATAACAGAAAAGAAAAGTGAGGGAATTGGTTGTGTGGTTGAGGGAATGTAAGATATTGGTATGGACTAGGAATGTAATATTGTAGTTGATTAACTGACTGACTGATAAGGAAAAGCTTACAGGTTAATGCTATAGACTATACGCATTTCTCCCCACTCCCCGCCAGTAAATATTTTAGCAGGCTGGCCAGCAGCCAGGCTCAGTCCTGGCTCATGCTGGGTCCGGGATCTATTCACGCTGCAGCTCTGCTTTTAAAGTGTATTAGAAACCAGGCGGGCAGGCAACTAGGCTCAGTTCCGGCTCGCACTGGGTCTGAGAGCTCAGACCCCAGCCCTCACTCAGGGGCTGTTGCCACCCTGCACTGCTGCTTCTGCTGTTTCAGAGGCAGCAGCATGGGGCAACAGGCAGCCTGTCCGCAAGGGGAGCTGGTTTTTAAAGTGGCTCCCTTGTGGACCTGCTCCCACCTGGCATCCCATGCTGTTGCCTTTCTCAAAGGCAGCAGAACAGAGTGGTAGGGGGCTCCTTGGGAGAGGGGCTGGAGAGCACTGACTGCTGCGCCATCTCCCCCAGGGACTATAGAATAGTCGAGTAACCGATAAGAATTCACGAGGTGAATCGACTATTCAATTAACCAATATTTAACATTCCTAGTACGGACATGGTGGGGGTGGGGGGAAAGGTATGAGCCTTGCAGCTAAGAACTGAGAAAACAAATGTGTCTTGAGCAAGTTAATTTAACTGCAGGGAGATAAATCAATATGTTGCATGTATAATGTATGATGTTTGAAGGATATTCTCAGCTGTAGAATAGTGTTGTGTGGGGTTTTGGAGGGTGTGCATGAGTGTAAACTATGGGAGAATTTTTTAGGGCTTTATCTTGAGAATTTATTAATAGAGGAGAGAGTTTTTGTGCAATCTGTGAAAAAGAGGAGGATTTTATCTGTTTTTACAAGAATTTTTTTTTCTTGTGTTAAATGGAGAATATGAATCATCCTGGGTTGTGTCTCCATTGAATGCATAAAGTAAACACGCTGAAAAATAAATTGTAGTCTTTCATTTACTATAACTTAGGTGTGACTTGTAATAATACTTTAAGCTAGATATACAGGCAGTCCCCGGGTTACATGGATCCGACTTACATCGGATCCCTACTTACAAATGGGGTGAGGCAACCCCGCACTA